ACCATTCTTGGTGATGAACTTGTATGGATCGTCCGTTCAATACCACGTCGACCATGGTTATCAATCTGAACCGATCGCGGAGATTTATAATAAAGTTGAGTAAGTTTACAATGCATCTCAATTGATCAACGCCAAACCTGCTATAAATATCCCTGTTCCTGTGTAGGTTTTCTACAGTATATGTAACTTGAACCAAACAAAAGTGTGTATATGCCATTACAAAAAAAGAAAAATAAGAAGCAACATCTAAAAAATCTGGAAAAGGAAAACACAACTCTATGTTTTTAAACCCGTCTACTCTAAGCAGCATCCTGAGCTGGAACCTTTGAGTACTTGGCAGCGCTGTACTCGAAACCCTGGTTCGTTGTGTCCTCACCGGCACGGTAGGACATGAGATCGTGGTTCTCGGCGGCGGCCTTGTCGTTGGCCATCTTGGCCTCGTTGGCACCCGCGGCGCGTTGGCGCCAGAAGTAGAAGCCTAGAGCTCCGAGGCCGATGGCTGCGGCGCCGATGCCGCCGGCGTAGATTCCTGTCTTTGTGCCGGCGGGGAGGGCTTCCCATTTCTCGGAGGTAGTCTTCTCGGGTTCTTTGAAGAGGGCTTCGTAGGCGGTTGAGTTGCCCCTGGTTGTGGTTAGTATGAGATCCTGGGTGGTAGATTGAGAGGATTGGAAGTGACTTACTTGACGATTTCAATGCTCTCCCAGCTGCCGGTCTTATCGCCGTAGACGTACTCCTTTCCGGTGCTGGCATCTTCAACGTAGACACTCTTGACGTGCATGGTGTAAGGACCCTTTCCGTAGTCGGTATCTGAAAATTGTCAGCACAACTCAATGTCTTTAGAGACACGCAACTTACCACCACCAGCCCATTGACGAGTTCCCTCAGGCATTGTAGGATCACCCGCAGCCCAGATTCCGATGCTCAGTCTCATGGGTGTCTGAGGATAACTATCCATATCATCCTTAGCAACAACCGTTCGCACATTCTCTCCGTCAATGTACCACTTCAGCTCATCCTTCGTCCACGTCGTCGTATAGTTGTGGTAGTCCTCCTGCATACCACCCTTGACATAGTGCCACCCCGCCTTGGTAAAGTCCTCAACACCCTTTCCGTAGTAGTTCGTCGAAGCATGGGTGTCATTCGCGCCCAGAATCTCCCAGTCGACCTCATCCAGATCGTCGCTCAGCCACATCATGGAGCTGATGATTCCAATACCGGGAGCGGCCTTCATGACGAGTTCGGTGCGGCCGAAGAAAAAGTAGAACGCAGTGCGCAGAGTAGGCGAGTCGCCCTGCTTGGCGACGGTGAAGGAAGCGCCGTCTTTCTCATCGTAGGTGACGCGTCCGACGTGGTTGTCCCAGTGGTCGCTGGAGGGGGTGTCGTTGAAGTGCCAGAGATAGCTGGTTCCAAAAGCCGGGTTGGGTTTGCAGTCTGTTTCGTTGAGAGGGTTGCAGTCCGAGGTTGTCTGAGCAGCCGCGAGGCCAAAGATGGCGGCCGCGGGAAGAATGTATCGCGAAAGCATGGTGATTTAACCGATCCAAGTTCAGTGTCTGTCAAAATGAAAAAGAGAGAGGTAAAATGAATGATATGAAGAAGTGAGTCGAGTCTGTCGAGATCAAAGGAGTGAATGGGTGATGAAACGAATGAAACACCCAAGGATCAAGCAATATGAGATAGACAGAGTGACTGACGGACAAGGAAAGAAGAACAACTCAAAAGGAAAAGAGGAACTTGTTGATCTACCTACTCAAAGAGCACGCATGAATAATGAGAGAGAGAAAAGAAATGGAGAGAGAGAATAAAAGCGGCAAACGGCAGAAAAGGAGACAAAAGAGTGCCAGTACCGAAGACCCATTCTCGCAGGCCAAGCATGACAGGGCTCTCAGGAGGCCATCGCCAAAACCTCTAGATCGAATGGGCCTTGATTAATTTCAGACCACTCAGAAGGCCTGCATCTAAACTGCGCCGGCGTGTCACCTACAAGGGGACATGCGACGCGCCAAGACCTGGGCGGGAAGGGCTTTTACAAGGGTTCTATCAGTGTGTCCATGGCTGCGTCGCTGAAATTAGAACCAGGATATAGGACTGGCTAACGAATTGGCATATCCACTTGAGAAATCTTGGCTGGATTGAAATTTGAATCCAAAGAGAAAGAGAAGCTGTTGCTAAATATGAACACGGCATGGCAAATGGAAGATTGGTCGTAGATCGACAGGGGCAAAGGGGGGCGGGAAGTGGGATTCTTTTTATTGGCGCTTGGTGAGCATGCAAGATCTGGAAATTGGGACTAGAGGGACGAACTAACTAATGCAGCAGGAGGCTCTGCATATTCGGGTTTAAACTTTTTGGATTCATGATAACCATAACATAAAGGGTAACTCAATTTGCACTCATTCTCACAACCTTCTCTGCGAATATCAAGTCAATGTTTCCTAAGTTTCGGATACATTAATCTTGATCCTTGCATTGCCATTTAAACTACCCCATTGCGAGGGCAAGGATCGTGCGGTCAGTCATTTATCTTGGGCTATACATAGCCCACCCAACCTTGATCTTAGTCTTAGGCCTTGCTGGCAAACTTGGCTCTCACTCTCTTGCTTGACTCGATGACCAGGTCCTCGTCGTAGATCTTCAGGACGCTAGGGTTCTTGCTGATGGCTTGCGCCCACTTGTAGAAGTTGGGGGTCTCTTTCTCGAGGCGGGAGAGGAGATTGGCTGGTAGGAGGCCGTGCTTGGCGAACGACAGCAATCGAATGACGAATGGAGCAATGAGGACCTGTTTCTCGTTAGCTATCACAATCATCCCGGGTCTTTTGGCTTGGGTACCTCTGCAAAGGTGAGCTTATCGCTCCCGTTGAAGAAAGGCGCCGCGTTCTTGAGGAGAGGCTCAACCTCCTTGAGAATACCAGCAACGGCATCGTCCACGGCCTGGTTAACCTCGTCCTCCGTCTGAGCCCTGTAAATAGCCTTTCCGATATGCGCCTGGACCTTGTTCGAGTACGCATCAGCGAAGAAGGCCACCCTCGCTCTGGTCAACGGACCGTTCTTGTCCGTCGACGCGGGGAGGAGATGGCTGGGATACGCATCTGCGAGGAACTGGGCGACGATGGCGGACTCGGTGATGGTCTCGCCGTTGTAGATGATGGTTGGGACGAGGCCGCGGGGGTTGATCTGCAGATACTCTGGGGTTCGGGGTGTGCTGAGATCAATGATTTCCTCCTTGACGGGGAGACCAAGTTCGGCGAGGGTGATGTGTGCCCTGTGCGCGACTGCGGGGGCAAGAGGTCAGCGGAGTATATGATGAACGCGATATGATATACATACAAGGGCACGCGTGGTTGGTGTAGAGAGTGATGTCTGCTTGAGGTTGAGAGCCCATTTTGACAGTAGTGTTGATACGTCGAGTAGTAATTTGCTTGGCTAAATTGGACGAAAAGAACAAATTCCGAGCAGGACTTGTTGCAAGTCTTGTAGTGAACAACCCCGCCATTTCTCTATGTGCGGGATCTCGGCAGGAGGCAGCGAAGCATTATTAATTCAATTGCATCGGCAGTTCGCTATATTGCACCATCGGCTTTGAGATAGGTCCGAAGCGCGCGGGTGGTTGCGTCATTTCGGGTGTTTGATTGATAAGGCGCCGCGCGGGGTGATGCATCTTGTGTAACTTTACTCTCCATTTGATGTTGGTTTGATGCAGTGAGGCTTGAGTATTTGATGGTTTTGGTTTACTGTGGTTATTTCCAGATGGAGTAATTGCTCATGGGATTGATCGTCGCTAAGCTTCTGACGTGAGACGGGAGATGGCGCCGCACTAAGAGCTGTAGGGTAAGTCAAGATTTGGACAACCTAGGGGAGCAATGAAAGCTCAGCATCTTGGTCCTAAATGGCTTCTAGAGGGGTTTAAGAAACACTGGGGTCCTCAAAAGAAACCCTGAGGTTCTAAAATGCTTTCTCCGATGCTAACGTCTAGGAATTGGCCTCTTGGGTGGATTCTATTGCTGATTTCGGACATGCTGATGTGGATCGCGACACTAATACGGAGGACATCTAGACTACCTTAAAGGAACACATATTTTGGAATACCACAGATTCATGTTCAGTTCTATTCACAAACAATATTTCGAATTACACGAGTGCTAGAAAGCCAAGGTCAAGTTCATTTCTTCCTCGAGAGGAGTGAATGAAAGAAGCTGTAGTGATCAAGACCTTGACCCTAAGCGATAAAAATACTTAGGTAAATCTAGTCTAAACTTAGGGGACTCTCTTCTAAGTTTATTTTGATCCCCTGCCTATAATAAGGTTCGGTGTTTTTGTCCCTTGAGGGAGTCCTCGAAAGGCAGGAGCATCCGATTGCCTGCAGTGATTCACGGCCATAAGGGCCGGAATCAACAGTTCCAAAGAACTTATCGTTTGCCTTGCCTTTCAAAGCTACCAATACATTCTCATTCTCTAATCTCCATCAAAGAATCCATGGAATATGGCCAGCGGTGACAGTGCACCTGCTTCATGCTCCAAGGACGGCGAAGCCGTTCGGAGGGGAAGTGGCAGTGACAACACCATTAACGAGAACTAAGCCATGGATGGATGGGTATGACCAAACCCCATCAAACAAACAGAAGCCTATCATATCAGGTAGAATCCTCAATGTCAATTGCTCTAATGAGTGAATGCGCGCGTTTGCTCCGTCGCCAGTGACGGCCAGCTGCATCTGGCACTGCCGGAGGCCCTCCACTGACTAAACACTGTTAGGTAGCCAGTTGAAAGGAGTAAACAAGCTGAGAGATTTAGCAAAATCCTCCCTATCTACCTGTGAAGTGCTTTAACCCTCATCCTACACCATTTCTTCTCCTATCTTACACACTTCCCTGAACCCCTTTGCAACAGCAACAGCAACAGCAACAGCTATCTGCATCTCACTCTCAACAGAACCTGCAACCTCAATCAACGTACACATCACATCTGTCTCAGAATAATCAACTCTTTCCGCGTCCCTCGGTGCCATGTGGAGAGGAGGGAGCTGGAGAGGAGGGAGCTGGAGAGGAGGGAGAGGAGGCAGTCGCCCTCCTGGTCCGCGAAATGAACCGAATGAGACCAGAGACAGCAGTAAGCCTTGCTTTCACTTCCAGAGAGGACAGTGCAAGTTTGGAGAAAGCTGCAAGTTCTCTCATGATGCCAGCAGCGCGGCTGGACAAGATCGTGCCAGGGACAAGCCATTTCGTCCTGAAGATCTTGGAAGCCGTGAAGAGTATTACGAATGGAAGCGTCTCCTACGCAAGCCCACACACGACTTCGACCCATCTGACGCATTCCAGCTTGCTGATAAGCTCTGGAAAGGTGCTCGGGAAATTCTAGACGGCGACAATCTGGAGAAACACCAAGAGCTGGCAAGAGAACTTGTCAAGGACGCTTTCCATGGTCCAGAATGGATCACATACGTTTCCAAAAACGCAACATTTACCGAAAGCAATCAGCTCATGTGTGTCAAGAATCTTCTCAAAGTCATCACTCATCCTTCTATCAAACCGCTATCCATCGACCCCCACGTTGGCGCCATGTATGTCTTGCTGGGAGGCACCAACGGCGAACAGGGAATTGCTCTTTTGTCCCGCATGTGCAATAGACTCTTGAGACACATCAAAGCATCTGGCGGATCACCGGGCTCTACCATCAAAAGTATGGTTGACGTTATTATCAAAGCATTTCATGAACTGCTTAGCAAGGTCCAACGAGCTCAGTTCTCGGATGGAACTCCCGGGCTTCTCAAGTCATTGGACAAACTTGTTGATGAGTTAACTGAGAGCGCATCAAAAGCCGACCTAGATGGACTCAAAACTCGCCTGGAAATCATCAAGAGAGTCGTCTCTGGCTCAACTGGCCGTATTCTTGCAACGCAAGATGCATCAAAGGACAGCAGTAAGGAGCCAAAGCTCGTCACCTCTTCGTTCCCCCAAGCGGTAGCAATTCCTGGCGGTCGACATGACAATGATTTTGCAGATATCTCCGATGTATCACTTCTCCCAACCCAAGGAGAGATTACTAGCGTGCATGAAGACTATCTGCCTTCGACAAACTTCCTCCACCCACACGTCCTCCGAGATCCCATGCAACGATATATCGACTCGATATTTCGACTTGTCCGACACGACACACTTGGCCCAGTGAACGATGTTCTTCGAGATGTTCTTGCCTCGGACAATGTCACGACTGCCCGGTTGACCGACAGAAATAGTCAGGCACAAGTCTATCACTCGTCAATTGTCTCTCGTATCTTCATCCATGAGAGAAGGGGCCTTGAAGCGATCGTCTCATTTGCTGCACCAACCTACATTGCCCGGAAGTCGCCCGCAGACCAACGAGACTGGTGGCAAAGATCTCCTCGACTGGGAGAAGGCACACTGTTATGTTTTGTCACTTCTGACACGGAGCACCAAGATCAGAGGCTTCTTTTCCTACAAGTTACCTCCAAAACAATCGAGTGGAGTCCAGCAAGTCGGACACAACGAAGAGTGCTCTGGTGTCCTATCGCAGTGCGCCAAGTATCACAGTGAAGTTAGCAACGCACAAGCAGAGCGATCTCAACTTTCTTGTTCGAACTTTCCGAGAGAACGTCGGGGGTGTCTTGGTCGACTTCAACGGAATCATTCCTGAGACCTTCATACCGATCCTGAGGAACCTACAAACGATTAAGCGCGAGAACCACATTGCCTTTCAGAATTGGATCCTCCCAGCTCCCGAAGGAGTTCATCCCATGCAGCCGCCTTTGTATGCTCGTAAAGCTAGGTTCATGTTCCCGCTCCGCTCCATCACAAAAGGCGGCAACCGCAATATTTACCTGGATCCTAACTCAAAGCTTGAAAACATCAACTTGAAGGAGATCGAAGACGCGACGGGGCTGGATCATGGCCAATGTCTTGGCCTGGTTGGGGCCCTTACACGGGAGTATGCACTCATCCAAGGTCCACCCGGAACTAGAAAGTCCTATCTCGGTGTACAGCTTGTCAGAACTTTGCTTGCTGTCAAGGAACAAGCAGACTTGGGGCCAATTCTCATCATGTAAGGCACTCAAAGGATAATAGTATGAAAGGAACGGGCACGCTAACGAATATACCAAACAGATGCTACACAAACCATGCGTTGGATCAATTCCTTAAGCATCTCCTCGATGTCGGAATCGATGCCATTATTCGCATTGGCGGACGTAGTGTCGCTGAAGAACTTGATGGCAAAAACCTTCGGACTGTCAGCAGAGAAACCCCGAAGACACGGGTCGAGGCTCAGATTCTAGGTGAGGCCTACAGCGAGCAGGAAAAGTCTTTGGAATCCGCCGCTTGTGCATTGGGTACGTTGGTCAAAGCCCGCAGGGGAGCGAGCTGGGAGGGACTAGAACGACACATACAGTCTAAGTATCCCCTGATCTATCGACAACTGGGCCGGGTAGACGATGAAGGTTTCGAGATGGTCAGCAAGGATCCTCTCAAAACCTGGATGGGAATCCGACCTCCGCCAACAACAGACTGGCAAACTTCTCTGGAAGACATCATAAAGCTCGCAGAGGAAAGCGTTCATCTCCTACCACCAGCAGAGCGTTGGATTCTCGTGGAACATTGGCTGGAAGAACTACAAGAGGACCAGCTTGGCATGCTGTACGAAGCTCTCGACGACTTTGACGGGCACCGCAAAGCCATATACCGAACACACGATGCTGTCGATGAACGAACTCTTACTAGAGCTGATGTCATTGGAATCACAACAACTTCTTTGGCTGGACGCATCGAGTTGTTGAGAAACTTGGATTTCAAGGTTGTTTTGTGCGAGGAAGCGGGTGAGCTGAAAGAGTCAGACATCATCTCTTCCCTCAAGTCTGGCGTGGAGCACTTCATTAAATCGGCGACCACCGACAACTCCGGCCACAGATCAACAACTTCAATCTGAGTCTCGAGTCAGCTTCAGGACGGTACTGGCAGCTGGATCGCAGTCAATTCGAGCGACGAGCTACTGGTGAGCCTGGTCTTGCTCCAGCACCATTTGACCAACTCAACGTCCAACGCAGAATGAGACCCGAAATATCGCAGCTCATCCGACGAGTTTACCCCAACCTCGAAGATCACACTAGTGTCAATGATCTTGGTAATGTCGTTGGCATGCGCAAGAACTTGTTCTGGCTTGACCATAATCATCCAGAGGACACTGGGGGTGATGGAACCCGTGTCAAGTCGCACAGCAACGTGTGGGAGACCGAAATGGCGACTGCACTCGTTCGACACCTTGTTCGACAAGGAGAGTACAAAACTGAAGACATCGCGCTTCTCACTCCTTACACTGGACAGCTCCAGCAGCTTCGTGCCGCGCTAGGCAAGGATTTCGAGATTTGTCTGAGTGACCGTGACATGAACCAGCTTGCACAAGAAGGATTCGAAGATGACTCCGCAGAAAATGGAGGCGACAGAAAGATGATCGAGAAGAAGCAACTCCTCCAAACCATTCGCCTTGCCACAGTCGACAACTTTCAAGGCGAGGAAGCCAAAGTCATCATCGTATCCCTGGTTCGAAGCAACGCACAGCGCAAAGTAGGTTTCCTTCGTACAGAGAATCGAATCAATGTTCTTCTCAGCCGAGCCAAGAACGGAATGTACTTGATTGGAAATTCCGAGACCTATCTTAACGTCCCGATGTGGGCCGATGTTCACCAGCAGCTCTCTCTGGCTGATTGTGTTGGCAATGAGATTGAACTGTGTTGTCCTCGTCACAAAGATACCCCTCTCACATGCTCTGAGCCAGCAGATTTTGCGTTGAAGAGCCCTGAAGGTGGCTGTATTCTTCCCTGTTCCCGACGACTCGAACCATGTGGCCATCGATGCCAGGCACGTTGCCATTCAGAGACGCTTCACGATGCGTTCTCTTGTCAGCAGCCTTGCCCTCGCATCAGAAAGACATGTGATCACGAATGTCAGAAACTTTGTGGCGAAAGATGTGGTCCTTGTATGGTCAAGGTCTACGATATTCGACTTCCGTGCGGCCACATCAAACAGACACTGAAGTGTTACCAAACACTCGATTTGGCATCAGTAACGTGTGATGCGCAGGTCGAAAAGACTGTAGCCCGCTGTGGCCACACTGTATCTGTCCATTGCTTCACTGATGTTAACTCTGAAGGTTTCCGTTGCCCCCAGCCTTGCTCTTACATACACTCATGTGGCCATCAATGCACTGGGACCTGCTGCAGATGTAGCAATGAACACGGCGAGGTGGCTCATCGGAGCTGTAGAAAGAAGTGTGATCGACCTTACGGCTCTTGTAATCATAGATGTACTAGCATCTGCCACGATGGGAAGCCATGTGGTTCATGTCAAGCGCCTTGTGAGGTATGTTTATTGTACATTTGCAGGAGTGGGATTGGAAAACTAACGTCTTTTAGGTTCGATGCCCACACTCTGCCTGTCCTTCGCCTTGCAACAAGGCGTGCGCTCCGTGTATCGAGAAGTGTACTTGGGCTTGTCCTCGTCAAGGATCTTGTTCAATGCCGTGCTCAGCGCCATGCGACCGCCTCCCTTGCGATGAATGATGCACCAGAGTACTTCCCTGTGGTCATCAGTGCCCAAGCTTCTGCGGAGAAGATTGTCCCGTTGGTTATTGTCAGGAGTGCGGCGATAAAGGTGAACAGCGAGTTGATCTGCTAGAGTTCCTATCATATGCCGAAGTTGATCTAGACGAAAGCCCGGTCGTGGTACTGAGCTGCGGCCACTTCTTCACTGGAGAAACCCTTGATGGTTTGGTAGGTCTGGATGAGGTCTATACCAGAGACAGAGAAGGGAGTTTCTGTGGTTTGAAGGATATCGCCGGGTCTCTTTCGACTAAAGTACCTTTCTGTCCAGACTGCAAGCGACCGATTCGACAGTTCGCAATCAAGCGATACAACCGACTCATCAACCGAGCCGTCATGGATCAGATCTGCAAGCGATTCATGATCACAGGCCGTGAGCAACTTGATAGCCTCGAACAGCAACTTCGAATTCTCGAAGACAAGCTTGACTCCAATCGTCAGGCCTATGGACTCAACAATGGGGTTGGCGTACTACCAAGTAAACGATACGAGGGACTGGACAAGCTCACAGCGGTGGGCAAAGCTCTTGTGAAGAACATGAATGAAGAGAACCAGCCTACCAAAGTCCTCTTCGACGCGATCGCGACTTCTCGCGCCAAGGCTACCGGTGATTCGGTGCCTGTCATTCGACGGATGGAAGCCTTGAGTCTCTCGCCACCAGCTTCTGACAGCCAAATTGTTCTGGGGGCAGACCTCCTCGTGATCAAGGCTCTGGAGATAAAGCTCAAAGATTTCATTACTTTCCTCAAAAATTGGAAGGACACGGCTGGCGGCGACTTGCTTCGAGGATGGATTAAGGAACAAACTATTCCATCAATGCCCAAAGTACTACGCTCTTGCGAGAAGCTCATTGAACAAGCCCAACAAGCCAAACTTCCTCGAATCGTCGTTGCGGCAACTTTGGCATTTGCTAGAGTTTCTCAGCTACTCGCCTGGCGGTCACAGGCCGCTGACAAGTCTTCAGTTCAAAAGTCTGAGGAAAAGAATACAGAGGCTGTTGAGGACCGAATGAACACTGCCCGCCAACTCCTCCACAAAGCACTAGAGCATTGTTCCCAGCTCGGGAACAGCGATGAAATGAAAGAGCGAGCTCAAGCCATGCTTGGACTTTTTGAACCTCGTTACGAAGAAGTGACACCCGAGGAACTGGCGTCGATCAAGAGTGCCATGGTGAGTGGCAGAGATGGCATTGCCACTCACTCTGGGCACTGGTATTGCTGTGTCAACGGGCATCCTGTGAGTTCTAATCCCAAACTTAGCTACTTTTCCTAACTAAATTACTAGTTCGCGATCGGGGAGTGCGGTATGCCAATGGAGGAAGCTCGATGTCCTGAGTGTGGTGCGGGTATCGGAGGTCGTAACCACCTGGCGGTGGATGGAGTAACTCGTGCTGAGGACATGGAACAATCTTGATTGTTGGATACAGCCTTTTCGTATGAGCTTTGGATGGATTAGAAAGGTACATCAAGGTTTTGGTACGTGGCCTGGACATTCAGGCCAGTGGCATGTGAGATCGGCCACCATTGGAAAATTGTCCTTGGAAACGGTTCACCGTTTTTGAACGCAATGACTCTTGATTATACGGCGCTACGTAGTTAAAAACTTTTTATTGAGTCTTGTAAACTAACTTCCTGGTGAAAGTGATGATTAAACCACGTGTCGTCTATAGCATAGCGTTTGGGCTACGAGCTTCTGTTACATATTACAAGCAAACTGGCATGTGACAAGAGATTTATTAGAAACACTTTGGCATGGATTTTGGGCGCTTCGAAAGACGCATATGGTTATTAAAATGTCAGTTACTCATTTAGAACGCTGCTTCATAACTCCTTGATAGCTCCGTCGTATACGTGTGCTTGTCTTCTCATACAGTCATAATACAGAACAAGATTACTCATACACCCCACTGGTTGCAGTTCTCTGTTTCTTTGGCGGATTTTTAATATCCGTGGCCTGTCAATATGTCAGCGTCCAGTTCAATCACACATCATCACAAATACTTACGTCCGAGAGACCGTCCCATCTTAGACATCTCCTTAGCCTCCATCTGCTTAACCTTGGCCCTCCTCGAATCCTCCTTCGCCTCAACCTCCAATCTCTTAACATGCTCCCTGGCCTCCCTCACACTAAGTCTCGCCTCCTCCAGGGCACGATCAGCCTCACGCTCGGCCCTCTCAGCATCCTGGACTCGCTCCCTGGCCTCCAGCACAGCAGGGTCATGCTCGTTGCGGTTTCCGCCCAGACGAGACAAGAAGCCACCGCCGTTGGAGGTACGACGGGACGGGGAGCGGGATGATGAGCGCGAGTGTCGACGGTCGTAGGAGGAGGCTGAGCCGCGGGAGTGGCGGTGGTGGGAGGATGTGGATGTTCGTGTGGAGGTGGGCTCGTGACGGGATGAGGAGGAGAAGAGGCCGTGCTTGCGGGGGGGTTCCTCGCGGATTGGCTCTGGGGAGGGCTCACGACGACCAAAGAGACCCATGATGATGATTTAGAGTGGCAGGTTATAAGTGTAGTGTGTAAGTCACGGCGTAGTGTGAACCGTGTAAGTGGTAGTGGATATCGTGTAAGTGATGAGTGAAGAAGTGGATAGTCTGGAGAATAAAAAAGAAGCTTTTGATAAGAATCTAGGCGTCTCTTGGCCTCTATTTCTATTACTTCGCATCCCTACCTCTGATGCCATTCCCAACTACGATCGCCCAAGCTTCAAACCTGCTTTATTACCGTGACGTCAATGCATGCGCGCAGGGTCGCAAGGGTCCAGCCAATCACGATGTGGAGATGACGGTATCAGTGGCGTTGACGGTGATGACATTCAGAGCATCAAGAGTGACATTTATTGGTGTAAGAAAGATGATCAGTTTGGGATATGATGTATTAATGCCTCTGATATCATACCAGTTTGAGGGGTGCTGAGTGGAATGTAACACGGTTGCCAAGCAAGATGCGAGGATTCTAGTGTCGACGTTGCATGTTTAGAGTTTATCAACGGTTACACTCCGCAACTTAATTGACCGTCATCATCAATCTCATACAGTAGCCTACGATCTCTGTGGATCAAAAGATCTACAGTCCATCCTCTTCTCAATGCTTGGCCTCGCTCTGTCGATATCTCATCGTGCTCCTTCGTCAGCGTGGCTGTGCACTTTTGCCCCTCAAAGTCTCAGCACATTGGTCTCACCAAAAGACAGAGTCAGAGCCATATCATCAAGACACGCGATAAATGAACAATTGAAGACACAAAAGCAAATGCCGTGAGGTGAAATCGGTAGACATAAAAAAAATAAAGTATTTGTAACTAGAGCGCGACAAAATGACTCCCTCAAGTAGTCTACTCCTCCCGCTAATTTGCCTCGCATTCCCGAGCGAAAATAGCATGTAAATAGTAAATAGCAGAAAAACAACGCACAACACCAGGGTTCCCTATGTGCTTTTTGCCGCACGATATATACAGTGAAAAATACCCATGACGGGCTAAAAATAAACCATGGGTGCCGAATAGAGTCCACATCCCTGCTTTCGTTCGATCACATTCGATGGGATGACAGGTAGGTCTTCGTATTCGATATTAAAAACGCTCGTATCGATCGTATCATGTTCACATAACCGTGCATCCGCCCTCCTCACGATCCTTCTTGACGCTGAGCGCAACACGCGCCGCCTCGGTGAAGGCCTCGTTGACACCTCTGTTCTTCATGGCGGAGCACTCAAGGTACCGGAGGGCGTTTATGCGGCGCGCCACCTCGAGGCCCTGGTCGTAGTTGATCATGGGGCGCTTCTCGCGGGGTTCGCCTGATTCGTTCTCCTCTTCCTCGCCTTGCTCGCGGAGATCGCACTTTAGTGCTACGAGGACGAGTTTGGTGCCGGGGCAGTTGTCGGCGATCTCGCCTACCCACTTGGATTCGACGTTCTCGAGCGAGTCTTTGCTGTCGACGGAGTAGCAGAGCATGATGAGATCTGTGTCGTCTGCAGAGTGTTAGTTCAGTTTGGTTGGAGTTGGTAGGTATCGGGAGGTAAGTACCGTAGGATAGGGAGCGTAATCGGTCGAACTCTTCCTGGCCTGCTGTGTCCCAGAGGGACAGCTCGATGTGTACATTATCGACAAAGATGTCTGCGTTCGTTAGCGATGCGTGTACGCAGAAGAGGCGTGTATCGTACCGTGGACGTAGTTCTCAAAGACGGTGGGTTCGTAGACAGTAGGGAAGTAGCTACAATCAATGAGCCTCTCTCTTCACGTGCATCTCCCTGAGAACATACCCTCTCGTAAAGACGTTCAACAGCGATGTTTTTCCACAAGCACCATCACCCCTAAATCAGATCAGCGCAATGCCCTCCCATTCCTCGTCGTATGTTACGCACAGCAACACCAGCTTTCGCTGCACAGTTTTAGATCCTCCACAAAGAGCAGGCATTCTGACAAACGTGATTCAAGTCGTGGGTTTCTCTTCGTAGGTTGCAGAAGAAAAAGGAAAAGACGGCTTGGTTTTTCGCGTCGTTTGAAATAAGTTGAATCTCGGTTCCGTGCAGGGCCCTGGCGTGCGCAGATCGAATTCGCAGGCGAGGAAGAAACCGTTGGCAGATATCGATAGACGGCAAGGCGAATTGATCCGTTGAATGTAGGGGTTAGGAAATGAATGGTCGTTTTTCCAGGTCGCGGAAGAGGAATAGAGATGCAAGGTTGTGAAATGGAAGTTGAGGTCAGAGAGAGGCCAGCGCAAGGGAAAATGGGGGGCACTGGAACTCTAGGCCTTGGGTCCTCTCGAGCAGTGGAGTCGACAGCGAGGAAAGCGGGCAGGGATTACCCATTTTCGGCGCCTCTTGAGGGGGGATATGCAACCACATGACAGAATAAAACTCTCCCAAATGCCACTGTAAGTTAGGGGGCTTGTTTCTGTCTCTCTTTAATGTGTCCCCTTTTTTTCTGCACATCCTGTGGAACCACTTTCTCTTTTTCTTGCAGTAGCGTCGACCCGTCACGTTAATTGGCTCTTTCACCCGTCGCTACCAAGATTGCCTCTTTTAAAGTCCCGGTTCAATTGAATGCGCCAAAGAGGGTTAAGCTCCGAGTCTTTAATTCGATAGTGTTTAGTTCGATGACACTGATGCTACGTCGTAAATCATTGCGAATAACTAATCATGTCCTGTGCATGAGAGAGAAGCGGTACCTGAAACTTGTACCTGAATTTGAGTTGAGTCGGGTGCAGTGACGATTCATGGTGGCTTTGCGACTGAGTCGTAACATCAATGTGGCTTCGTTTATTTTCCGCCCGCAGGAGCTGTAGGTATCACGCGGAAGAGGCGATATTGCAACACTGGAAAAGCCAGCTTGCTCAATATTGGACAAGAGACTTGTTTCTATTCAAACCTTGATTCGGTTTGTGCCGACAACTCAACCTGACAGTACCAATCTAATCATGTCGTTCAAAACGTAATTGTGCAACTTAACAGAGGCCGCCCAATGTAGAATCCATTTCTAATCTTCGTCCCTTTGATATCCACGACGCGATCCGCCCATACGGTCCGCAAGGCCCTTGTGGCTTGCTTGTTGATGCAGCTTGTTGATGAAGCTGCGATCACCTCCACGCTCTCGAGCCTTGTCGTCTGCTTCGCGAAGTGCTGCCTCCTGTTGTTCCAGTGCCGTAAGACGCTTTGAGCGATCTTCGTCAAGCTCTGTTGCTGCAGACTGCATGGCGGCTAACTTGCGCTGCCGCTCTTCCTCCTTGGCTTTATCGTCTTCTTCGTTGTATCGGGGCCGCCTGTCGCGAGAGTCGGGGTAACTTCTTCGGAAATCCCTTCGACTTTCGCGGGGGCGCTCGTCGCGTGGTCGCTCATGACGAGAGCGGTGCTCACGTCTAGGTTCTCTGTCCTCTGAATCGTCGCGTCTTCGCCGCGAACGGTCATCTCGACTATCGTCTCTGCGTCGCCTGTGCCGATCTTCTCTTGAATCATCGCGGCGTCGTGGGCTTCGCGATCGCGAATCAGAGCGTCGTCGTCTGTGGTGTCTATCGTCAGGATCCGCGCTGCGATGACGATGCCGCCTTCGGTGCCTGTCGTGTCGGTCTTCTCTCCTCCGTGACTTTTCCTTCTTCTTCTCATCATCAATTCCCATTGAAGATAATAACTGTCGGCGCTTAATCGGGTCGTTCATCATGGCTTCGTACGCAGCTTGTTCTTGTCGCTTGATAGCCAGTAATGGATCGTCGCGAATCTTTGCAGCTGTATCCCTCGCAGTGTTCGCATTCTGCAGCGCCATGAAACTCTCCGCCCCCGCATCCTTCTCTAACTTCTTATGATCTGTGCCCTTGATAAGGTTGTCGATACGCCGCTTGCCCAGCAAGTAGGCTTCTGATTCTTCTGTCGTGCCACCTTCTCCGTCGTTGGGGCCTTGGTACATCCAGTCAACGCGATCAACGCGC